GGGTACTTAAAAAAGGTCTTAAAAGGTATTAAATTTGACCTCAGGATTCCTGCATATACCCTGGATAACCAGCGTCGTAGTACAGTTTAGCGGCAGCGCGTATGTTTTGGATTAGGCCAACCGGCTAACTCAAACATATCCAGGTTAGGAAAATCCAGCTTCGTAGTACAGGCCTCAGGTTGAATTGAGGCGGATATTTGTAATGTTCAGAGGTTGTTATGTTTAATATTCATGAGAATATGTGTCATTGATCAAATGATAATAAACAAACATTTGCATAAAGCATATTTGTCCACTCATATGTTGATAAGAGTATTAAAACCTTGAAAAATATCCCTCTAAGGAACATTTAGAACAGATAAAAAATGTGCGATTAATTTGCGATTAATCGCGATTAACTATTTTAATCGACTGACAGCCCTAGTTATAATAAACATACATGTTAAATGGATATACCGGCCTTCTTTCATTTATCTTTCCATTCCCACAACAATATACATAAAGAAATGGCATATTTTGGACATAGTTCGAATGGTGATTAATCATGATTTATTAATTTTTAAGCTGTGATTAATCTGATTAAAAATTGTAATCGTTTGACAGCCCTAATTTATACCCATCAGCCCAGCGGGTAGTATTTACCTTATAGAAAATGCAGTGATTCTCGCGCTATTGACCTCGCGCGTAAACTCGCGATCAAAACTCACTGTTAACCCTGTGTTCTAGTATGATAAATAAAAGAACATTGTAGGGCCTATCTTGAAAATCAATGCATTCTAATAGCGGGTAAACTTTACCCGTTGGCGGTTTTAGGTATACAGTGACCCCTGGCGGTTCTAGTGTTTTAAAGTAGCAAGAGTCAAAGCTGGTAAAGGTGCAGCTAGTTTGAATTACTTTGTATACTGCAGGGTAGCTTGTGAATTTACTCCAGGTGGAACTAAATTCTGATTTTACACTTGATTATATTTCACATCATTAATCAAAATCTGTAAAGTAACTAAAGGTATTAAATACATGGAGTAAAAGTACACTCTCTGAACTGTAGTGGAGTAGAAGTACAAAGTAGCAAATCATTTAAATAGCATACTCAAGCAAAGTATAAGTAGCCTACTTCAAAATTGTACTTAATTACAGTACTTGATTAAAATGTACTTATAGTTACTTTGCCCCACAGCTGGTTAAACACATGGACATGAGTTGGTGGCACCTGCCGAAGTGCATCATGCATCTCTAAAACACAGAGGGAAGTTGTGTGTGCTGTTTGTTGTTTCAGGCTCCCAGAACCTTAATTCCCATTAAGTGCATTAACCCGGCTGTTGAAGTGGCTCATTGTGAGCGGGCGGCGGTGTAGCTTTAAGAAGGAGGTGGGCAGCGCTCGATGACGCAGGAATAATCCTGGAAAGATGCTTCAAAACTCCAGGCAGGAGCCAGCGTGTGTGGAGCTGCAGGCTGAGCTGTTTGGACCGCCAACCCGGCAGATCAGAGCTCTACTGGACAATATTTAGAGCAGGTTCATATCCTTCGAAGAAACTCTCAATGCAGAGAAAACACACAGATTCAGGCAGACTCGCTTTTTTAATACACAGTTATTTACCTTAAGACATTTACTCCTGGCGGAGGGCTTTGCAGCTGTATGTGCACTGCCAAAAAATTGAGGAAAGAAACATCTTTAGAACACCTCTCCAACACTTTGTCCTTTCCTGCAGCGGGACTTGGAGAGGGGCACCATGCCATTCCTCGGCGCACTGTGTGTGTACTTTCTGATCATCCTGAGGCCAGTTATGACAAACAACATCACCGTGGACATAGACGTGTTGGTGTTTCTTCCACAAAATAACTCTTACCCGTTCTCACACGCGAGGGTCGCACCGGCCATCCTTTACGCACAGCAGCGGCTGCAGGCGGAGGGGGGGCAGTACTCCGGGATCCACTTCAACATACACTTTGAGAACTCCGACTGTGTGAATGGGGCTCTGTTCCTGCTGCTGGACAGGTCGTGCGGGCAGAAGCCGGATCTGATCCTGGGTCCGGTGTGTGAGTACGAGGCGGCCGCGGTGGTCCGGCTGGCGTCGCACTGGGACATCCCGGTGATCTCGGCAGGTGCCCTGGCTGCCGGCTTCAGCAACAAGAACACCGAATTCTCCCAGCTGACCCGCATCGCCCCGTCCTACGTGAAGATGGCAGAGACGTTCACCGCGATGTTCGAGCACTTCACCTGGAGGAGCGCGCTGCTGCTGTTCGAGGACGACAAGCAGGAGCGCAACTGCTACTTCACCCTGGAAGGGGTCTACCATCTGATGGCGGACTTTAACATCAAATCATACGCTGTTTCTATGGAGGAACGTTTGGACACTGACGACATCCTCCAAAACATCCATGACACTGAAGGTAAAGCACTTTCCCCTTCTTAAATTCTCCATATAGTAAGACAGAGGTGGGAGAAGTATGCTACTCAGATCTTGTACTTGAGTAAAAGTAGAAGTACCAGAGTGTATACTCTGTTACAGTAAAAGTCCTGCATTCAAAATGTTACTCAAGTAAAAGTAGAAAAGTATTATCATCAAAATAGCCTATAGTGAAAGTAGCGACAGTAAAAGTAGTGATTGTGCAGATTGGTCCATTTCAGAATAATATATATATGATATGTTTTATAATGATTGATCATTAAAGTGTTCTCAAAGCTGGTAAAGGTGCAGCTAGTTTGAATGACTTTGTATACTGCAGGGTAGCTTGTGAATTTACTCCAGGTGGAACTAAAGTCTGATTTAACGCTTGATTATATTTCACATCATTCATCCACATCTGTAAAGTAACTAAATGTATTAAATACATGTAGTGGAGTAGAAGTACACCATGTACCTCTGAACTGGAGTGGAGTAGAAGAAGAAAGTAATAGGAAATACTGAAGTAAAGTACAAGTATCGCAACATTGTACTTAAGTGCAGTAGTAGAGTAAATGTACTTGGTCACTTCCCTAGTAAG